ATTGTTCAGTGCATCAGGAAACTGGCTAAAATAATCAATGGACCATGGGCCATGGTGAGTCTGAACAGGTTTTTCTGAGTCAGAAATGTCCAATGACAGATCAACTACTCTGTCATTGAATTGTTGTGGTTCTGGATTTTTGTGTTTGTTTTGTATTTTGCTGTATTTTGTTACCTAAACAGAGTTTACCTAGTTTCACTGAGAAAGTTCTTAAATTCAGCATGTTTTCTGGTCATTTGTGTGATTAAGCATCGCCTGTTTGCTTGCCCGCTCACTTCTTCCTTTTTGGGTCGTGGGGGTCTTTGGTAACTGGTGCCCATATCCAGTGGTTACTGTGCCAGAGGTGGGGGACACCCTGGACAGGTCTCCAGTCCATTACAGGGCCACATATGGTCCGAAGCTGTGTTAGGCCCAATGGCGACAGAGCCCACAACCTTCTGTTTCATGAATTTGGAGGTTATATTGTAGCTTTGTCAATTCAATCCTGTGACAATGCCGATCTCAGAAGAATTTATCATAGAGGTGGTGAGAATATAATTATAAAAGACAGTTTTTAAACAGAACTAACGGGAGCCTAGCAGAATGTGACTTGTCATCCTGTGGCCATCTTGAATCCTGGCTGGAACATTCTATCATGTTTTTGTAAGCCTTAAGTACCCAGATAACATGAGAGACCAGATAATTGTAGGGAAATAGTAAGTGTTTATTTACAGTAAAAAAATTGCAGGAATGCTGGGGAGGGGGAACTGCTGGAGGAGAACAAGACAGTGTGGTGAGTTTCTTTTTTCCCCTTTCGGTTGCTCCCTTCTTCAGGGGTTGCTGCAGAGAACAAAGTCGCATGAAGACTTGGCAATTGTTTTTACACCAGGTGCCCTTCCTGACACAACCACAGACCACCGAGTTATCACAGCCCTCTGCGTGGAGCAGAGAGCTGCTATCTAGGGCACCCGGGGGAGTGGTTAAGGTCCTTGCTCAAGGGCCCAGAGTGGGGCAAATGAGAGTGCAGGCAGGAGTGGATGTTTCACCTATCCCACCCACATTTTGATGTTGTTGTACCGGGAGTTGAACCAGCGATCTTCTGACCACAGGTCCACCTTCTCTAACCTCTGTGCCACCACTCCCTATGATTCGAAGACAGGATAGTGAGTATAATGAAAAAAAGGACCTTACAGTTGCCTGATGAGGTGGTCCAGATAGGCTTACTTGTTTTTTTTCCTTGCCAGGTCTGGAGCGTGGACCAGGGGATTCCAGTGAGGCAGCGGATGACCCAGGTGAACAGGTAGGTAGATTGGGAAAATGGAGAGCAACAGGACATATCTTAAAGGCTGAATGGCAAGATGGTTGGTTGATGTCTCTTGGTGTGGTTTGTAGGAGACACCTCTGAAGAAGGGATGTAGGTTAGCAAAAGGAGATGGGTTATCTGGTGACTCTGAGAGCCTTGAGGATCAAAAAGCAGAAATATGGATTACAGTAGCCACAGGGAGCACAAGGAGAGTGTAGATGAACAGATGCTCAGATATATTCATCATTTAACACGGATTCCTCATTTTTCTGGACTGAATAAAACGTGCATTGAATTTAAGGAAATGCAAACGTGAGACGTCATCTATGTTTGACCCATCAAAATGAATGCGGTCATTTATTTACAGAATCAAAGTTTAACATCAAACATTTACATTAATCTGGCAAATTATGAAAATAACAACATAAGCAATCAATCAGGAAAAATCATACGGCCATGATTTTTCCGTTGCTTCACCACAGACATTTATGAAAACTGTACAATTATGATCTTTTACCCACATGGATGTGGGTGAGCATTTTACACAGACATTTCTAAAATATCTGGAAGAATTTCTACTTGAGAGAAAAGTTTAAAGATGAAAGAAGTTAAGAGGGAGTAAGAGGGTGTGTGAGGGGAAGTAAGTGTTCACCAGAACCGACACTCTCCATCAGAAACCCAGCTCGCCTCGGTACGCTTGGTAGGAAACTTGACCCATTACCTTTCTGATGATAATCAGCAGATATGGTGTTCCGTTAACGCTACCTGTCCAGCATCTCCTTAGGATGGCTGTAGCTCGTCAGAAGTAGTGGCGAGTGAAAGTGTTATATTCCCATGGAACTCGGAAGAGCTTTGTTGTCATGTCAGGATCATCCCGTCTCTCACAGAACTGAGCAGAACTGAACAGAACAGAACTTCTCCAGAGCTTCAACAGAACTGAACTCTCAGAACAGAACTGTGCAGAAACAGCATCCGAGCAGAGCTTCACCAGAACTCTCTAGCAGAACTGAACTTCAACAGAACTTTACCAGCACACCATCAGAACTGAGTAAACCAGGAAGTACTGACATTTTTAAAGAGCTGTTTTCCGGTTCACTTTTGGGAGTATTCCATTGGTCAGAACAACCAGACGGGGTGTGTTTTGTGACGTAAGAGGTTAGAAGACAGCCAGAATTGTTATGGAAAGATCAGAAATGTTCTCACAGACAGAGAGAGTTTTGTTTTGGCGCGTTTCAGAAACAGGTGCCAAAAACCTCTATATTACGTCTGAGAGGATTCTAAAAACATGACAGTTTTAACATAACAACTTGTTTTGCGTTTGACTCCAACCTTGGACCAACTTACACTTGCTCATTCAAAAGCAGAAATCAGAAAAGGCATAATTACTCTGTTACAGCTTTGACATGAGAATAAACATCATTACTCAGTTAATAAAATTGATTAGTTCACTGCAACATCTAAAATGGTTTGAACTAAGACATTTTGATTATCAACATTTGTAAAATAGTAATGATAATAAAAAGAGAGTGTTCTTTTCACTTGAATCTTCAAGAGAGAAAGTCTCAGGATGGGTGAACCTGTATTTCTGGATTCAAACCAATGAAATGACAGTTCCTGTCCCACAAGGTTCTTAAGGTCAAGATTTTTGACCTTAGACTTAGTTTTTGACATGGGCCTAGTCCACTACAAGAGCAAGGTTTGTAGTTTCTTAATCTTCAGGTATATCACTAGGGCTGGACACCATAATGAAGTATGGACAATCTTCCACAAGAGTCAGGTAAATCCAAACAGCCTCAAGTAATGAAGTCTCCTCGTCAGTAGACGGAGACAGCTGTGGATAAGTGGCTTCGTCCTGCCTCTCAGGAGCTGCAATTAAGTGGTAGTGTGGAAAAAAACAGAATCCCCACAACAGTGTTTTAGTAAAAATCATGATTATAAAAATGTGTACAATATTATTGTTGGTTTGTTGTTTGGGATTGTGCAGTCAAATTTACTTTACATGCATTAAATACTTAAAGAATTGTTGAGCTTTGCCTCCATAAACAGTTGATGTCCTGCAGTATTTTCATATATTTGACTCTTTTCAGTCATATTAAGGGATAAATTGTTCAAGGGAAAAGATAGACAGAAATAGACACCACACTTTGATTTGACTTGTAATAATTTATCTTCCAGCTGTACGACTGCGTTCCTTTGGTTCGTCGCCTGCCTCTGCTCTTCACCAAGGCCTTTCAGGACATGGAGGTAAAACCTTTAAACATGAAACCATGACAATCAATTCTACATTCTGATATGAATTAAATATATGTGCTTTAGACATTTCTGAACTTCTCAACTCGTGTGGTGAATGAGCACAAGAAGACCAGAACCCGTGGAGAGCCAAGGGACTTTGTGGACTGCTATCTGGATGAACTGGATAAACAGGCATGTAAACACAAAATAAACGTTCTGTGCATTGATGCTGATGGAGGTGAGTTAGGTCAAATAGACATGTTTGTATTATTAGGGGTCAAAATATGTTAAATAATGCAGGAGCAAGTTAATTGAAATGTGAACAAGTGAGTCAAGGAGTGAATTTTCATCAAATTATTATTTAATTTTATGTTATAAAACATTTGACAGTTTCATGTGTAGTGTGTCAAAGACAGCTTTGCTGTGGACATACGGTCCCACCAAATGTAGTGAAAGTGGGAGACAGCTTACTATACCTTCACTACTAATTAATTTTTTTAATATAACGGGTTCTTTCTTTTTCAAGTTAAATTAATGCCATGTGACGAGGTAACTGTGAGGATTGTTTAATCAGTGACAAGAGACGTTAATTTTCCTTTGACCCATCAGAATAAATGTGGTCATTTATTTAACAGAATCAAAATTTAACATCAAAACATGTACACGTGATTAGCTGATCTGGTTCTGATTAATAAAACTTGGCACGCTTTACTAATAAGACAACAAGACATTTCTGAAGGCATCTAGATTACTGGCAAAATAGAAGAGTTTAAAGGAAGGAGTTTAGAGGTTTAAAGAAGAGATGGGTGAAGAGAGGTGTATGTTGTTGACCAGAATTGGCACGCTTCTTTCAATCACCAGCTCAAACCTCCGGTACACTTAGCGCGTGACGACTCGTTACCTTCGCAGTAGATAAATCAGCTCCGGTGTCGGGTCCATTTCAACGCTACCTTCCAGCGTCTCCGGTTAGAGTGGCTGGTCATCGTCAGAAGTCGTGTCGATTTACTCCGTTCAACAAACAGGCTCAGCTCCCTTCGAAGTTGTAGGCGTTACACCCGGGTGGATTCACAGCAAGCATCTGTGAGTCCGTCAGAGATCCCACTCAGGAGTGAAAAACCCCCGAAGGCTTGAGAAGACTCTATCAAAGACTGAGTTCAACTCAGATCCAAGACTTCAGAAGAACTCAGAAGAACTTGAGAAGATGGAGAAGACTCCGTAGCCGGAGTAGACTGAGTAGACTCAGGAAGTGTTGTCTTTTAAAAGCGTTCTCACTTCCGGTCACTTAGGACTTCCTGATTGGTTAAAACAACCAACAGGGGGTGGTTCTAGTGATGTCAGAGGGTTATTAAAAGTCAACAGAGGATTCAGGAATGTTTAGGAACGTTTAGTACAGACAGAGAAATGTTATGGCGAAGTGAGACAATGCAGATGCCAATGTTTCTCTTTTTACCATCTGCTAGGTTTAAAAACAATACAGCCCATTCTAATAACTTCTTTCTGACTGTCTCTGACTTTTGACCGACATCACTGCTTCTCCTTTAGACAGAAAATCAAAATGTATAATTACTTTGTAAATAGACATTTAACTTGATTTCTCATTTAAATGAGGTTTAAAAAAATCATTAATACTGTTTCACAGTTGATTTAAATGAGTGGTTCACTTCAACATTAGAAATGATATGAACTAAACACACTTTTGATTATCAAGATATTGTAAAATAGTAATGATAATAAAAAAGAAGAGTGTTCTTTCAATTGATTACTTCAGGATACAATTAGACAGTCTCTGGATGAGCTCATTTGTATTTCTGGATTCAAATCAATGAAATAACAGTGCCTGTCCCATGAAGGTCTTCAGAGACAGGTTTTGGTCAGAGGCCTAGTTCACTACACATGAAAACAAGTCTTGGATTTTATTTGGGCTGCAATATTCTCTGTGTTCTGTCCAGAAAGGAGAGGATTCTTCATTTTCTGAGGAACAACTCAGAATAAACAATTTTGATCTTTATGTTGCTGGGACCGAAACCACCTCCAACACCCTCCTGACCGGGTTTCTGTACCTCACAAACTACCCACATATCCAAGGTACACCTTCAGGACGACAAGATGCAATGTCAACTGTACGACATGTTTTCAGCTCTTAGAGATTCACTTTGTTGGAGCTAAAATCATATTTTTTGTTCTACAACTCTAATTCTGACAGAGTTAGAACATTATATAAAATGGAAACAAAACAAATCATGAGATTTTCATTCTGGTTTCATTGCTATTTTATACAGCATCCCAACTCTCTCTGAATCTGGGTGTATTGTGGTTATACGCCCATCAAAAGGCAGGACTTATCATGGTATTGTGTGTGGACCTTCATAAACTTTCTCTTGTCCCACCTATAACTTCTGATCTGCTCAAAATAATTTAACGAAACTTCATACAAGTATGCAATGCATCATCCCTAGACATTGAGTTTATAATTTTTTCATTGCCCCAGCTCATATGTCAAGGTCACAAATCAAGACCAATTGTTATACAAGGTCTTTACTTTTCCCGATCATTGCTATAGATTGCTGTATAATGGTTTGTCGAAGGGCGTATAATGTGCCATATACAGTACAGTACTCTTGTTGGTAGTTATCATCAATTCAACTAAAAACCTGGAACAAATTGTGTTTTGTGGCAGGCAGTTGGAAACAAATAGTCTAAATTTCTGCAGAATTAATGTTAGTTCTTTAAGTTGTTTGTTATGTGTCAACACAACACTGATTCATCCCTTGTTTTAAGAAAACTTTTAAAATCTATAAAAAATATGCTAAAAGCTATTCTAAAAGTCTTAATTACTATTAATCAACAAAAGTACAATGTACAGCACATTATATGCCCATCTACAAACTATCATACAATAATACAGCAATATATATCAATGGCTCGGACAAGTAAAGGCCTCGCATGACTTTTAACCATGGTTTATGATCTTGACCTTGAGGCTGAGGTGCACCATCCTCAGCACTGGCTCCCCTCAGGGCTGTGTGTTGAGACCCCTCCTGTTCACTCTGCTCACATATGACTGTGCACATACCCATCTAGACTGTCATATTGTAAAGTTTGCAGATGATACAGCAGTGGTTGGATGCATCACAAAGAGTGATGAGTCTGGCTACAGGCAGGAATGGAACACCTGGAGAGAGTTGGTGTAGGAAGAACTGCTTCCACATGAATGGGAAAAAGACGAAGGAGATGATTGTGGTTTTCAGAAGGAGCAAACACACCTACCCCCCTCTGCACATAGGAGGATCTGCGGTGAAAGTGGTCTCCAGTTATAGTTACTTGGGTGTGCACTTGAGTAACAACCTTACCTGGGGCAACATTTCCAGTCTAATCAAAAAGGCTCTACTTCCTCAGACGGCAGAGTCGACTGGACTAGGAAGCTCAGTCCTCACCTCCTTCTGCAGGTGTGCAGTGGAGAGCATCCTGTGCTCCAGCATCAACGTGTGGCATGGAGGCTGCACAGCCGGAGAGAGGAAAACACTGCAAAGGGTGGTGAAGGCTGCACAGAAGACTGTTGGAGTCAGCCTCCCCACCATCTCAGACATCTACACCAACAGATGCAGGAAGAGGGCCACCTGCATCATGAAGGACCCCACTCACCCAGCACACATACTTTTTGCCCCGCTCCACTCAGACAGGAGGTTGAGGAGCATTAAGTGCAGAACCACTAGATTGAGGAACAGCTTCTACCCTAACTAGTTTTGGCTGTCAGCAACAAACTGGTTGATCCACTATGAGAAGGTGCTATTTGTAAGACTGAGCTGAATACAGCTCCTCAGACTGAAGAAGTCTTTCGGATGAAAGACGAAACGTTTCTGCATATTTTTGTTTTTGTTTTTTGAACGTCCAGAGGACCTGACGTAACTTTTTTAGATTACTTTGAAAAACTGCAAAAGAGCGAACAAGTCGGTGTCGAACTGCGAAGTAGCGAAGGACCACTGTAATGCCACTTTAATTGGACATTTGAAACTTTGTGCTGCAGATTATCCATGCTGCTGATTTCGTAACCATAAATTGCTATAGTCATACCCATCTGCTCAAAACAGACTCACGTTCAGGCTGCTGTTTAATACACAATTTTTAATAGTTTAATACACAATTATATTATTATTGTTTAGTGTATACCTTAGATCCCTGTATATGGTTTGTTTTTTAATATACTTTATATTTTTGCTATTTTTGGGTGTAACTAGGACCTTGAATACACAATTTTGTTCCACCTCATGTACCACATGTGATGCGAATAACAATAGTCACCTTGAACCTTAAATGTGTATGTTACACTCCATCTAGTGAAGATGCATATGTGTATAAAGTTTCAATAAATTATCTTGAGCAGATCTGAAGTTATTTTCCGGAGAAGTAAATACCTTGTTTTAACTTTGACCTTGACTTTAGTGGGTTTGTGAAATACACCTATTGTAAGTTTCTGCTTCCTTAGATAAATGTCAGCAGGAGATCGACCGGGTTCTGGAGGGAAGGGATCGGGTCAGTTTTGAGGACAGGCACAACATGCCTTACGTGCAGGTGATGTGCATCATTCCTCAGACTTGTCCTGAGGACTTTAATGTTTTTAGAGAGATCTCTTGTCTGAACATGACAAAAATGTCAACTTTAGGTAATTTTGCCTGGATGTTGCCATGTTTCTAGGAAGTAAAGTAGATTTTAAGGCTTTTACATATAAATCTGCCTAAAATAATTTAATTTCATTCTAAAATAAATGTAAAATATGTCTTAATCCAGGCTGTGATCCATGAAATCCAGAGGGTTGCCAACACTGTTCCTCTCAGTGTCTTCCACTCTACAACTAAAGACACAGAGCTGATGGGATATTCTATCCCTCGGGTAAGTGGACACCAAATGCATTAAAAAATAATTTATGGTCTAATTTTTTTGTTTGGTTTCCCTTCAGGGAACAATGATAATCCAGAACATGATGTCGGTGCTGAATGAAGAGGATCAGTGGAAATTCCCTCACGAGTTTAATCCTGAAAACTTTCTGAATGAGCAGGGAGAGTTTGTCAAACCAGAGGCCTTCATGCCTTTCTCTGCAGGTAAACTACCATGAAACAATATCACATGAGACAAATCCATTAACAATCCCTTTCAGGTGACCATGAAATATCACGTTGAGGTTATTATCTTGTGTCTCAGGTCCTCGGATGTGTCTCGGAGAGAGTCTGGCCCGTATGGAGCTCTTCCTCATGACGGTGACCCTGCTGAGGAAGTTCAAGTTCATCTGGCCGGAGGACGCTGGAGAACCGGACTTCACTCCGGTTTTTGGGGGAACTTTAACTCCAAAACCTTACAACATGGAGGTCCAGCTCAGGTCCAAACACTGAAGTGGTGCAAAGACGCTCTGTAGAAACAGGCAACAAAACCAAAAAAACAACACTTTTTAATTTCTATCTGAAATTGATGACAACATCAGTATTTTTTAATTGCAGATGATTATTTCAGTCTGAATTGTTTGATACTGTGAAAACATTAGTTTCATCCAGATTGCAAAAAAAGAAATCAAAGCTGAGCATTATTTGAAGGCATGCATATCTCTTGTCATTTTCATGTTAATTTAAACTTTTTAAGTCATCCTATGATGAGGAACGACAGTTACAATCATTTTGGTTAATTCATGAAAATTGTATGCATGTTCCAGCTTCAGATTTGTAGTCAGGGCTAATAAGTTGCATCATAGGACAAACATTGGATGTTTATTTTGCAGAAACATTTGTTGTTCATAATAGACATTAATAATAATAAAATAATGCAATAATTTGAACTTTTCTTCTTTTTTTTTTTAGAAATAAGATAACAAAAAGACTCTGGTAATTGTGTGTTAAAGTGTATTCAAAATGGTCTAATGCAGGCTCTGGAGAAGTGATCTATTGCTCAATTTAAAAGGTTTGTTTTACACACATGTAAAGTACAAATTATCATTACATCACTTGGCCATTTAGCACGCACAAGGCTATTCTCTCAAAATGGTACCGAGGCCTGGATCACAACATGTTTTCTTCAAGAATGGCCACACTTCCAGGAAGTGGTTGTCATCAGGGAAGCCTTTACCCTAATCATGTGACCAGTGCTCTGACAGAAGCCCTAAAGTTATATATTTAAAAAACAAGTCTAAAAACTGATGTTTTTTCTGTTGTGAGAAAGGCAGGTATTTAACTAAGAAGAAGTACTTCCTAGAAGAAACTGAACCTCTACGGAACAAAAAAAATCTGCCTTGTTGCTTCTAACATATTAAATTGTGATATAAATAAAACACTTCAATGTAAGAAAATATATAGTAAGATAAAAAAAATACATTTCAGTCCCCCTTTTGACATGACTCTATAATGTCAACAAAAAGCTCTATGTGAGAATCTGTCATTGCAATTATTCATTCAACATTTATTTATACAGGTTAGTCTCACTGGGTCACGAGGACTCATTTTCAAGAGAAACCTGTTTTAGACATAGAACATATAAAGTACAAACATCATTAATTCAACAAAAAGCAATTAAATTTTAAAAAGTACTGTAGTTGTGAAAACAGTCCAATTAAGGTGCCATATAAAACAAGGCAAAATACTAAAAACAAGAACATATTTGCATAAATTTTACTAATGACGTTATGAAATGTTTAAAATCCATTAAAGAAATCAAAATGGACAGCTTCAGATTTTTTGCAAGGTGTTCCAGGTTACAGGAGCAGAGTAAGAAAAGGCCTTTTTGCCAAGTTCAGTCTGCACCAAGGGACCGCTGAAGGTAATGAAGGCCTGGGAGGGCACGCCGTAACTGCACTGACGTGACATGTGTGAGGAGATATAAAAAGGCAACAGAGCAAGGAGTGGTTTATAGATTAAGATGTATCAGTGTGAGAACCTACATGTAGATAATGATGACCAACTGACCAATGAATACAGAGTGTAGTGATGGGTACAGTATTTTCAACCAGTTATTAGGTAGATGGCATGCAACGTCTGCAAGGAGATTACAGCGACAAGTGTCCTTCATCTACAAACAAAAAAAACCTAGCATTCCCACCCCTTATCATTAACAAACATCCTCCCATATAATAAAGACCTAAGTGTAAAAATAATAATAATATCAATAAACATTAATGCAAATTAATAGAAAAATAATAATTTACTGAAATGTAATATAGCTATCAGAGCTTATGCTTGTAAGAAACATAGAAAGGAAACAAAAAGCAAGCAAACCTTCTCTTCTATACTCACACCCCTACGTGTGTGAAAATATATGTTAGCATATTTTAACAGCATTCGGTGTAAAAACTAGGGACGTCGCAGGGGCGTTGGTTCATCTTCATCCTTGTTGTCATAGGCACCTGTAAGGAGCAAAGTTTCTACCATTTGTTGACTCATCTAATAGGCTGAGAGAATCTATTATCAACTACTTGTACTTATATAGAGGTGTCTGATACAGGGGGATACAACAACATCCCCAGATTAACATAGCCATAATCTAGAATTAACATGATCAGAATAGAAATCACAAAAGTCCTCTACTTCCTAAAAGTTGTAGTAAACCTGCCATTTAACAGATTATCTATACTAGAATGTTCTGCTAACTCCTCAGATAATGATTTAAGACCTATTAAGAGCTTTTGCAAAAGAACCACCTGGAGAAGTATTATTCAGAATAAATGCACAGCACTCCTGCCCAAACGTAGAACAGACACCGCCCCTTTCAGCTTATAAAAAAATCCACAGTCTGGTCTAATACGCGATTAACGAAGTTACAACTTATTTTTCCTGAAGAGTGTCTCTAATCATATTACTCAATTGCTAGACAGTAAAATGAATAAAAATAATTCTTGGACAGTCAGATTTAATATTTTAACTGAAGAAATTAGAGAAGCAATTGTACACCTTCTCAAAAGTCTATCACCACAAAACCAATGCACATAAGCTTGAGGCTCCAATAATCTAATCATATTAACCCAGCCTGAAACATTCACATTCTGTGTGCACCACTCTCCTCACATCTCACAAACCTTCCCTCCTCTCTGGACCTTTCTAATCAAACAGGTATATTCATTGTTCAGGTGTAAAAATTGGAGGTATCACATCCTTAGAGGCCCTAGGGAAATATTTGTCTAATGTTGTGCAGACTTCAGAGGGATTTTCCCATCATGTGTAACTTCAACAAACAGCGGAAACAAGTAAAGTTTGAGAGAGAAGAAGGAACGGAAAGATACCGGCCTCGCTTTGGCACATAGTCAGTTAGTGTCATTAATCTGCACTGCTGCATTTTCCACAAAAACCTGTTGGGTAAAACCTGTTAATTGCATGTGCAGGAAAGATCTTTCCTTTGGTTAAAACATAATAATTGTCAAAAGAGTAATAAGTCATCATTGTCAAAGTTGTACTGTAATAAACATTAAACATCTAATCAGCTGTAAAAAGGAAATACGTTAAAACCAGTTAACCAATGGGTCAAACATTAACAATATTCTCATGATTACTGAACCTAACATCATTAAAAACAGCTATTTTTAAAAAATGATCCCCCAAAAGTTACTTTCATTAGTTGCATTAATCTTCTAAGAAATATTTATTTGTAAAGTTAATGTCCCTCTTTCATATCAGTTTATTCTGAGTTTGTCTTTGATTCAGTTCTAAAATTGCATCTTGGACTTGAGACAGGTGTTCAAAGCTTCACTAGAGGCAGATTCACTTGTAGACGGAGATTCAGCATTGTCTTGTTTAACCTGCTGTAAAGTACACATGGTAGGATTAGAACTTTTACACAGAGATTACATATCCAATTACTGAGTCTGTGATCAGTAAACCACTTTCACACAATGGTGGGTTGCTTGAGCAGGAACCTTGCCGGTTCAGTCCGTCTCCACCAGGTGGGCCTGTGATCGGAAGATCGCCGGTTCAAGCCCCGGTACCGACAACATCAAAAATGCGGGTGGGGTAGGTGAAGCACCCACACCTGCCCCCACCCTCATTCGCCCCACTCTGGGCCCTTGAGCAAGGCCCTTAACCCCCACCATCTGCTCCTCCGGGTATCCTAGATAGCAGCTCTCTGCTCCACACAGGGGGCTGTGGTAGCTCGGTGGTCTGTGGTTGCGCCAGGAACGGCATCCAGCGTAAAAAATAACTGCCAAGTCTTCGTGCGACTTAGTTCGCTGTGGCGACCCCTAACGCAGGGACCAGCCGAAAGAAAAAAAATAATTAATAAATATATATATATATATATATATATGATGATGATAATAATAATAATAAATCTATATATAGTTAAAATTTTAAGAACTCTGATGATTGAAGTGTGAGCTGCTGGTTTTAATGGCCCCTAATGGGCATGTTTTGGAACAGTTTATACAATCAAAATAAATGCATTTAAATAAAGATGGAAATGTGGGAGGTGTTTAACTACTGAGGTCAAACGAAGAGGGGGTTTGAACACTAACTTTAGATCTTCTTTCTGCCTCGAGGTTTAAACTAATCAAAAGAAAGAAACACACTATGATTGCTTTATCCTCAACATTGAATGTAATCACACTGTAACATGAATGAAATCCAGTGGTCAACCGTTATTAGATAAACTCAATCACTTGTTTGTTAGTCAACAAATCAAACATTTCTAACTCTATGTTAATCATTTTTTAAGTTTTTTAAAGTCATAAGGTTTTAAGGAACATATAGCTTCAACAGTAATTGGTAATGAAGCAGGAAACAACTCTTGGTTATAAAAAATATATAAACTGGATAACTGTGAAATGTTTGATTAGCAGAACTGGAGAAACAAAGGAACATAAAAGTTTGTGTTGGATTTAGAATTTGTTCTGGAAGTGTTTGACAACTGAAAGGAAAACATGGTTAATACAGCATTTTCAGAGTAGACATGAATATAGAAAACCAGAAAAATTATTGTTTTAACAATTTTTATATATACATATACATATATGTGTGTGTGTGTGTGTGTGTGTTACAGAACAGACGGTTCTGTTAGAGTTGATGAGACCAAAACTGATTTGGATTGACCAATCATTGCTACACAATGATATCTTGCTTCTTGATGTTCTCTA